TTAGCAAAGAGGCTTAACCCTTATGAATGCATTTTCTGCTTGTTTCTCCATTACTGGAGGCATCATAAGCCCGTCACACACCCCCTGATCGCATTTCAGCACAGCTAAACTCCAATCCATGTGTTCTGCCTGGGCTTGTTTTTTCAGTGGTTTTCTTTATTTGTATGCCTTTGGGTGTCAGAGGTGACAGAAAAGAGGAAAAGAAGTGACGTGCATTTGATTTGTTTTTGCATTGTGCAATTTCCTGGATCATTCCTGTTCTGCGGCACCTATTAAACTCTGTAATGTTTACAGATATGCTTGTGTTGGAAGTATTAAGGAAGCTCTGTACTTCTTGTAAGCTCAAACTTGCTTGTAAGCTCACCTGGTACAGCATTACACTTCTGATGTAGAGCAATGTGAAACATGAGTAAAATGGCATGGTTGCTTCAGCACATGCATTTTTATATCACGTTTGCTTTTTTTTTTTAATTGGGTGTATTTAGGGCCAAGTTTAGTGTAGCTGATACGTTATTTTAAAACACAATAAAGCATTAACCTTTTAGTGCCACTTGCTGGACATTTAATTTCCAAACTGAAGCATAATATGCAACAGCCAAGGTATTAAAACATTGCCAGATTCACAATTATCTGTTTTGGATAAAACTGAGCTAATTTTTAGTGCCACTCACTGGACATTTCACTTCGAAAGTATCATGAAATACATGCAAGAAGCAACATTTATTTTGCAGAAATGTCACCACATGCACGTTTTTCTAATGATCTTGGGTTGATAAAGGTAGTGAAGAGGTGTTTTGTTCTCTCACATAGTATTAATTAAGGTTTAGAGTCATTTTTTATCTGAGCACTGAAATCCCATCCTACTTCAGTATTGTAATTGTTGCACAAAATTTGATGAGGTTTTAAACAGATAATTAAACTGTCACTCACCTTCAACTGTAATCTTTTTATGTGCGTTTTCATCTCATAAAATAAAATGAGATTTATGGGGAAACATGCTCAAACATTAGAGGAACCTCTATGATGAGATTAAAAGTGCTGTTTGCCCCCATAAAACCTACTTGATATTGACTTGATTTGACATTTCTCCTAGTATTTGCCAAAGTCTGTTGTGTGGTTTATCACTGTCTCAAATGAAAAAGGCTCCAAACTCAAGAGTCTGTTATTCTGGTAAACCAGAAGCGTTTTTACCAACACTCAACTGTAACTTTTTGCTGTAGCAAGTGATTCTCCTCTCAAGCCAGAATTAGAAATGCGAGGGTCCAAGTGCATCTGAAAGTCCTTGATGTGCAGGTGTTGCTGTGCCAGAGCACATGTTGGCATATTGCTCTCACTGCATTGTTCACACATGACAGGATCTCGTCTCAAGTGGTGGAATGAATGAATTGATCTGTGCGGCGTGTACGGGAGAGATTGAATCTATATCATAAATGGAAAGTTTAGCGGAGCGTGGTTTTTATACAAAGGACAAGAATCAGAAATAAAAGGTAAAATGTGGATTACTGATTGTAATACTTTCAATTATGAAACACACAGTTGCTGCTCTAAAATATGATTGGATGAGACACATGTGAAGATGTTTTAAAATGTTCAGTATATGCAGGGTTTTTGTTTTTTTTGCCTGTTTTCCATTATATAATCACTTTCTTTTGCTCATTAATTTTTATACAAAGCTTAGCATAAGCATGGAAACTTTTCATTTTATGATTTGTGAATGCCAGATATAATAAAATGCTTGCAGATTTATCTCTCTTTCTTGATGGATTTGAAATGTGTTTATAGCTCATTAGGTGTCTTTATGTGTCCAATAGCAGAGGTGGGACTGAAGCAGAGAACAATAGGACGCTGTGTTTAATGATATGCTTGGTGTTTTTCAGTTCATGGTGTGAAGACACAGAACTGCTGCTGTATATATTTAAACCAAACCTCTTCATTATATCAAAGCTATATGTGTGTCATTGTTTGTTTTTTTTTTAGCCCACATTGATACTGTAATTTACATATTTATCGCCTTATTTGAGCTTGTGTACAAGATACAAATGAAACAACACCTACAGTTTTTCTTTTCCTGCCTGTTTTTAACCACATGTCAGAGATACGTTCAGCTATACGAGGTTTATTCCAGCTGTTTGAACTACTTGGATCCATCCTGCAGCTCGAGTTTAAAAGGCTGTGGAAAAATGCATGCATTGTGGAATTCCCAGGGATTTGATTCTGTGTCACATACAATTTTTCCTTGTTTTCCATCATCGGTGGCCTTTGTTTTCCAGTGCAGTGTGGAAATGAAATTATCATGACGTTCAGTATCTGCGAAGCATGAGTTTCAGATTTAACATTTATAGCCTGTACCAACTGTATAGATTATTAAATGTAGATGTTTGTTTTTATAATAATAATGATTACAATAATTTTATTTTAAAGCTCCTTTCCCAATTTTATTTCTATTGAGAATGAATGCATTTTTTAAGTTGTAATCAAAGGAAATTATTATAATTCATTTTTTTATTGCACAAGATACTTAAAATTAAGCATAAAGACACGATGTCGTAGTGTTTCTAATTTGAACTTCTGTAGTAAAATCAATATTGGAGTCCATTCCTTAGATGTTTGGGTTAAATGCATATAGATGAAAATTAAACTATAAATTGAAGAACTGTGCTCTTATGCTGTGTTTAGCTCAAGAGAACAATAGAAAAGTCTCTGATAAATCATTGATTGTTCTAGTTTCTTGCATCCACTTTAAACCTGCCATCAATTCTCTTCTCTCCTTACTTTAAACTAAGAGAAAGACCGAGTCTTCACCAGCTATTTTGTATGCATTTAAATGAAGTCCATGAATAATGCACGTTTGAATTTGCATAATCGGGATGGGTGATTATAGATAAACCGTTTAGCTTGATGTCTTTTATCCTTTTGACAGTATTAAATATATATATACCTCATATTTGTGTATGTGGTCTGAAACCATTATTAAAACAAAATGCACACTGTTGCCAATAGATTCAAAATGTATCTGAATGAAACTTTGGTCATAGTACAGTTTTTTTATTAATTATAAAGGTCAGTCATTGTGTGGAAGAGCCTTTGAAGTACTAATGCATGATCTAATCAGTTTAGCATCAGATTTGCTCATTCCTAAATATTGTTGAAGAATATATAGAAAGTTTATATACATCTAATATCTTATTTTAGAATAAGTCTCTGCTTCAGTCATTGGAAACTCATTGATTGATTGACTAATTGACATGTCTTTTTCACAGAAAGTTGACTGGCATTCACCAAACATGTTCATTCAAACCGTTTCAGCGTTGCTCTTTTGTGCTGCTGTCACACATCATGGCTGGATTGATCTGTAAAGCAGCTTATCTCACCTCTCTAGACAACATGTGACCTCTCGTCTTTTGACGGCTGAATTTAAAGGCAGAATCATACAGAATGAATCATGTGACAGTAGAGATGCTGACCAGACTCTTAATTCCCATGCTATATCTGAAACTATTTCCAGCTTGCGGTAGGTTATGATGAAAGGCTGCCAAACATAACTTAATAATAAGATTAATTAAATATGTTTAACACCTTCAGAATGATGTAGCACATTTATCTAGTTTAACATAAAAGCTGTTTGAGTTTCATTGTGTGTGATTTTAATGGTGAGGTGGAGAAGTACACTTCAGCTCATGATAGAGATTTCATTTATTTATAAATCAAATCCAGATGGTAATCTACAGTCTTTGCATGGTGACAGTGAGCTTTGAATCTCTACTAGTGTTAAATTTTATGAACGAGTGAAACACAACCGATGTTATTGCTTTTTGATACATATGAGCTTTCAGGTGTAAAGTGTAATGAAATATGATTCAAAATATGAGATCAGGAGATTAATCGTCACTAAGTGTTTTAATTAGGGCTGTCAATTGAATAATTTTAATTGGATTAATTATATGATGTGCTGACTAATTAATCACGTTAATTACAGTTTATGGCATACATCAATATTTGCACAGAAAAGCAGCCAAAAAGTGTCTTTTAGAAGACAATATTGTCTTTTATTTCTGTATAATTGATGCTAATTGATAGTTGATCTTCAATCCATAGCAATCCATTTTGCAGCCCAGACTCATTGGAATACTTAAACATCTCTTAAACATATTTTATTAAATTATGCTGGCTTAAGTTCTGCTAGGAAGATATATTAAACCACAAACTCTTTTGAAGAAACTTGTCCCTGAATTCATTTTAGAGTTTTTATCTAAAGCAAAACTTTAAAACCCACCCCCCCTAAATTCTGTGTTTTTAATTTTGTTTTTCTGGATTCTGTGTTTTATGATTTAATACAAATCATCAAAAATAGTGTCTAATGAAATGAATTAATAAAACTTGCACACTTCCATCAGTCTTTAAAAATGTAATCAAATATAAATATAACAATTAAATGATAAAAGAACATTTTTATTTGATGTCAAATAAGATGTTGCACAAGAGAACTGTATGAATTAAAACATGAATGAAAAAATATTTTGGTTGTATGATATTCTTAAAAATAAGTACAGTATGTTATTAGTAGTACTTTGAGGAGTACATGTTTGTATACAATAGTGATATATTTCTGTCATAATTTCTTCAAGTTAAACCAGACTTTTATTTTGGCGGGTTTTCATGAAGAGCTTTCAGTTTTAGTTTCAATTTCGCTTTGTATTTGATGGTAGTTTTTCTCACAATAATGGTGAAAAGGTGAAGTTCATGTGTTCATGTCTTAATATTGAGACACAGACGCTGAAAACATTGCGTGTTTGATTTTGTATATCAGACGAAACAGCGCGCCATTCACAGAGACGTATTAGTTTATTAGCCACATGCGCTGACTGACTGTCTTCACGCTTATTTCTGCTCTGCGATTGGGTGTTAGATCTTGATATATCTTTGACATTATTGTGTGTGTTTGTAAATGTACCAGTTGTTTTTTGAGACGTTAATATAAGATGTTTGTTCTCCTCCGTTAGGTGTTCTCCAGCTTGCCGTGAGCAGAAGTGTCTCTCGTTCTGTGATGATGTCGTGGTACCATCAGCGTTTTGAGCGGAATTTCCGCAGTGTGTGGGAGCGGAGGGAACGCTGCGCCTCTAACAGCAGCTGCGGCGGCACCGTTAACGGCTGCATCTCCACGGATCTTAGGGTCAATTTTTCTGTCATCCATCATGAAAGCCCTGCAGCCGCCCCCACCAGCGTATCTCTACAAGCCATCTCTGATAAGGAAGAGCGGGGCTGCTTATTGATCTGTGTCAAGAAGAAACTCCTGCTACCTGCTTTCATATTGCAGACGGGCCGGAGCGGGGCGGGGGAAAGAATAAAGCAATCTTAGATTTACAGACGTCTACACTGGGGAAAGTCTGTGGTCAAAAGCAATATGCTTGTGCATCTTTCATTCCACGTACAAAGACGTCTTTGTGTGAAAAGATGGACGTTTTATTATTTAAAGTATCGGCATATTGGCTTCTCTCATTTTGTGATTTTATTGCGGGAGTTCAGCGGTGGCGTGAGCAGACAATAATTGAGTGTGTGCTCAAGTAATTTGCTTGCATATTAAGTTACGAATCTCACTGAGAAGATTGGCTTTGTGTCCTTTTCGTCTTGATCCTGTGAAAAGAGTCGCCGCTCTTGTGAGCCAGATATAAATACTGTCAAATGACTCAAAAGGGTCAATTTGTCACATTCAAACTCATTCAAATGCAGAAGTGTTGATGAAGCTACTTTTAAAATCTTCCTACAAGCTAATTACAATACAAGCTGATAAAATGAAGTTCAACTACACTCGGGCTTTTCTAGTTATGCTACAAGCTACTAATAAAGCCATTTAATGAAGCAGTATCTTGTTAAATAAATCACTGTTTATCAGACAATATCCTTTATATGGAGCTGTATCTTTTTAAAGTGACTTTATCAGACAGTATATTTTATTGTTACAATCAAAGAAACATTTATTTGCTTGTTTATTTACTTGTTTCATTTATTTTTCTTTAAAGTAATAAATATTACTTATTTAGTTTATTTAAAAAAAAAACAGTGAGGATCTCAAATATGGTGTCACGATTGTATTGATATATAATATCAAAACGCAAATTTACATTTATTCTTGTAATATAACTGAAAAGCTTTTTAAATAAGTCACTGTTTATCAGACAATAAAATGTAGTTTTACAATCAAATATTCATTTATTTGCTTTATTAATTTATTATTTATTTATTAATTTATTGTTTATTTATTTAAGTGTTCAATTATTTATTTATTGAAATAATTGCATTTGTTTGTTTATGTTAAAAACAATGAGGATCTCAAATATAGTGACGCTATTAGTATACCATTGATAAACTAATTATCATCAGTAAAACTTGAAAAAATGTACATTTATTCATGTAAATAAATAGAACTGTGAAGCAGTTTAATAGAGCTGTATCTTTTTAAAGAAGTCACTGTTTATCAGACTAAAATTTATTGTTATAATCAAAGAAGTATTTCATTTATTTTTATTTTTATTTTAAAAAACAGTGAGGCACTCAAATATAGTGACATGATTAATATACCATTGGTAAACGAATTATTAATCAATAAAACTATAAATATAACCGTAAATCTGTTTAACAGAGTGGCATGTTTTTTTTTTAAATAAGTCACTATATGAGATGATTTATTGTTACAAATTTATTTATTTATTTATAATTATGCTGTTATTTTTTTATTTAGTTAGATTATTTATTATTAAAAAAAAAATGAGGATCTCAAATATGGTTACAGTCATTGTACCATTGGTGTATATAGTAAATACTGTGTACCAACTAATTATCATCAATAAATCTAAATAATCATGTAAATAAAAAAATCTAACTGTAATTTAGGCTTTTTTCTAGTTTTATTGACTTTATATAATTCACAGATGGTATCTGTTCGAGCACGGTTTCTAATTTTTATTACCAATATGAAAACCATGATGAACGGTAACATCTAGCAAAATATGTTATTTCGTAATGTGATTTTAATTACTATCTCCCAGTTTCACAGACAAGGCTTAAGCCTAGTCCTAGACTAAAATGTAAATCTGAGCTGTTTCAACTGAAAGAAACTTGCACTGACTGATCTTAAAACGTCAGTGCCTTTGTTTTGTCTTAAGATGCACACCAGTAATACTTTTTTCTAAGACATGTTTATAAACATTACTTAAAGGTCCTAATTGAACTATAGCCTAATGCTAGCTTAGGCCTAAGCCCTGTCTATGAAACCGGGCCTATATGTTGTTATTTTAAACCATTTTCACACCTCATTCGTTTGGAGCCTTTGATTTGGACCCTGATGCATTTTCTCCGTTCGGTTCATGTAGGCTAAAAATTAACAGCGATGAACTGTCAACAGCATGTGCTGTGTATTTCTGCAGTCTGTATCTTATTCTGTCGAGGCTGCTGAATGTCATTGGAGTTTCCCAGCAGATGTAGAGTTACAGCGGGAACGTGACCGTACAAGTGCCATTTCCACCATCATTTCAGACACACTTTCATACTCTGCTCCCATTTCATTTCTTCCCCTAATCATGGCTGTCTTGTGTTTCTGGATGGCTCTCAAGACGCCCTGAAAGCTTATTGAGTATTTCAGCCGCTATCTGTAGCATGACCTCTTTCAACAGCTCCGCTCCACTGAAGGTTTCATTTTGTCAGTTAAGAGCTCTCTCATTTAGATTTAGTGAAACTGCATTATGCAAAACGGCCAGTCAGAACATGCCAAAACACGCAGGACTCTTGAACTCTGCAGTCGCTTACTGAGGGCAGACAAGAAAATGAAGAGCCTGCAAAGGAGATATTTTCTCATCGTTATGCGATCGTTTGAATTGCTCGTTATCATGCTTTTGTATTGTGCCACTTCATATTCATATTACAGATAATAACAACGGGTCTGCCACGCTGCTGTAAACAACTCATAAGTTGGCATAATTCTGCTCCATTTGGGCAGATTCAACAGTCAGATGAATTTCATTAGTCCTGCAGCATAATTGCATGATTAATTTGGCTAATTATTCCCATTTATTCTCTGATTAGACATAAAGGCCTGGTTTCATAGAGAGGGCTTAGGTTAAACCAGGATTCGGCAATAGGTCAATTAGGACATTTAAGTCGTTTTTTATAAACGTGCCTTAGAAAAAACATTACTGGTGTGCAGTAGTTTCTTTCAAAGTTTCTTTCAGTTGAAACAGCTCAGATTTACATTTTAGTCTGAGATTAGGCTTAAGCCTTGTCTGTGAAACCGGGGGAAAACTATTTGGAAGGCCTTGGTAAATTAAACCAGTGGTTTTGCTTTGATTCAGATTTTACTTTGGACATCAAGTGACATCAAACCTAGTTTTTATCACACAGAAGTCAACCAAATTGTCTAAAAAACAAACACTGAAATTGTTTTAACTTTGTCTACAAGGTGTTTATGGTTTTGTTGACTGTTTCTTTAAGGATATTAATATGTTGACATCTGTCTATTGTGACTAGGAGTTAGTCAAATAAACTCATAGAGCCGACAGTGGAAAATTTTATTAAATTAAAGTTTTTAAATTAAACCAAAAGCATGTATGTATAAATAAATAAATAAATAAATACACAAACCAAATTAAAACAGTTTTAGTGTTTGATTTTTACAGCATTTTGGTTCGTCTTTTGCAGTAAAAACCTGTTTGGACCACTTTATTTTATATATAACACATAAAATGTGTAACTAGAAATGAATATTATATAAATTGATACTAAATAATAAAAAATAAAATACAAATAAGTACATAATCAATTATAGGTATTCTTTATTTTAATAAAACAGATTAGACAGATATCAACATCTTTAAAAACTATCAACAAAACTACACAACAGTAAAATTAATGAATGAATACCACCTAGACAAAAGTCAAACGATTTCAATGTTTATTGAATTATTTATTTATTTTAGTTAGTTAGCTATTGAATTTTATTTCAGAGAATTTTGGTTTGTTTGTGCAAAAAAAAAAAAAAAAAAAAAAAAAAAAAAAAAAAAAAAAAAAAAAAAAAAAAAAAAAACCTGGTTTGGTGTGTGTGTGTGTGTGTGTGTGCCAGAATATATAAATGGAATATATAAATAAATATAAATATGAATAAAATGCAAATAAGTGAAGTATCAAGTATAGTTAATATAGCAAAATAAACAGACCTTTTCCCTTTATATTTCCCTGTTTTAGGCCATTTTCACACCTTGTTTGTTTGGAGCATTTGATTTGGACCCTGATGCAATTTCTCCAATTGACTTGTGTAGGTAAAAATGAACAGCGATGAAGTGGGACTCCCTCAACAGAAACATATGTGTTGTGTGTATAATGACCAATTTTGCCCATGGTTTGCTGCTTCAATTCAAAAATTCAGTTTGACTGAATTGATTTCAGAGGCATTTTCTGTTCGCTTGTGAATCTGACACAGTCTGAATTAAGCCAGACATCAGAGAACAGGACCGTTGACTTTGAGACCCGTGTATTTCTGCCTGTCATTCACAGATATAGCAGTGTCCCTCACAGGTCTGAGGAGCCGTGACCCTTTTAAGAGCCTCGTCTCCTTGCTGTTGAAAATCATCTGCAGCCGCACGCTCACAGAATTCATCTCAAGGTAAAGCCGCTCCAGCCTGAAGCTTTTTCAGCGGCCAAAGGCACAAACTGAAGGCCAAGAGTTCCTCCTTTGAACCATCAACACGAGAAAGACGTGGCGCTTGGGAAGCTTCTTTCCTCGGTTCCCATCAGCGGGAGACCACCGCAGATTCCCGTCTCTGAGGATGTTTTTAAAGACGCCGCAAGCCGTAAGGAATCGCAAACTTACTTCACAAAGCCACGGTCCTGACAAATGATGGATCATCGGTTGCTGGCGGCGTGGGAGCGAGCGCTTCTGCCGGGTGAGGAAGAGGCTTCTGTGTTGACAGCAGAGATAGGAATAGCAAATACGAGCATGACAGTGTGGATGCTCTATTTGGCTTTGTGAGAGGCGGAGAGCGATGCTGCCCAACGCCTGGTGGATTAGGATGGTGGAGGACAGCCATCCGCTCGAATGAAGACGTCTTATTTGACTGCGGGAAGTGATCCTGCGCACACACCACCGGATGGAGGATGAGCAGAAGCATGCTGTCTTTTGTTTGACAGGCCCTCGTACATTAACGAACACGTGCCATTTAAAGAGACCTCGCTCTGAAGAGACGTCTGAATTATCTGTGTCATCTGAAAGCGTCGCATGGTCCTATTTTCTACCTTTCCTTACCATTTTCTGGCTGTGTTTTGCTTTGTAACATCCACCTTTTACAATCCAGTTAATTCACAGGATAAAAATCAAACCAAGCCATGTCTTTTTTTGTTTTGTTTTATGTAAGGTATCATTTAAAAAATATATTTAAAAATAGTTTTTTTTTTTATTCAAAAGTTTAGGGTCTGTAATATATAATATTTTTGAAAGATAACCAAGGCTGCATTTATTTGATTAAAAAAAAAATGTTGATCTGTCCTGTTTTTGTTTACTGTAAAAAAAAAAAAGTATATATATTGTATATATAATATATAATTACATTTTTTTTTAAATTATTTTATATTTATTTTTTTAATATTTTTGTTTTATTTTATACCATTCAAAAGTTTGAACGAAAACTGTTTTCTATTTGATATATTTTAAAATGTAAAAATGTAAAATGAGAGTCAAAGCTGAGTTTTCAGCATCATTACTCCAGTCTTCAGTGTCCTTCAGAATCAATCTAATATTCTGATTTGCAGCTCAAGAAATATTTCTGATTATTATCAATGTTCAAAACAGTTGTGCTGCTTCGCATTTTTGTGGAAACCGTGATACATTTTATTTTTCAGAATTATTTGTTGAATAGAAAGTTCTAAAGAACAGGATTTATTTGAAATATAATTTTTTAAAATAACATTATAAATGTCTTTGCTGTCACTTTTGATAAATTTAATGCATCCTTACTGAATAAAAATATAAATTTCTTTCAAAAAAAGAATTGTACACTCTAAAAAATGCTGGGTTGTTTCCACCCAACTTTGGGTCAATTGACCCAAAGTTGGGTTGAAACAACCCAGCATTTTTTAGAGTGTCAACTATTGAATGATAGCATAATATGAATATTTACTGTTACAGATTTCATAGAAATCGTCTGTGCTTTCGTTTGCAGGAAATACATGTGCATGTGCATGTACATGTGCAACTGCTTTACATGAGTACCGTATGTTTCATACTGTATAGTCAGTTTTTGCAAAGAACTGAAATGGTCAGTTTTATTTTGTGCATCTGCTTTAATTTTGATCATGCACTCTGAACTTCTGACCTTGAAAGTGAGATGCGGCGTGCATAGCATTTCCTCATGGATGCTCTTCATGCATAAACCCATACAGAAATGGAAGTATTTTAGTAAGTCAGCTAAAATGAGCTAGAAATGTAATATTTGTCATTTCGCTGCGCCTGCAGGCACACAGAAAGCGCGCTTGAATGCATGCAGTACGGCTGCAGATGAGTTAATGTGAACTCCACAGCTTTGCTATCATAATTCCACTTGCTCTCCTGGTGCACTTTGAAAACTTCAGCAGGTCACTTTCACTAAACGAAGCACCTACTTCGTGGGGGTATGAACGTGTGGCTCCTGCCCAAGGGACAGAGCGGAAAAGCTGTTTCTGGACTCCAGCTAATATTCTGGAGTTGTCTGTCTGCATAATGTTGTCTGCATTTAAATTGCTAAGAGGTGTGTGTTACGCCACAGGTTTTTGACGTGGCACACCAGGGAAATTATAATTGGAAATGGCTTTATTTTTCCGCAGGTAACGTTTTGTCCACGGCTCTTTTGGACTCGATTAGCCGCTGGCTGTTGACCACGTCTTCAGCGACTGGTGAAGTGGGTCAAATGTGTCATTTTGGGGTTAACATGTAAGGGATTACATGCAGTCAGCTGCTCACAGAATAAACTCTGGTTTGCCGTTGAAGAGTCTTGTAACCCTGAAATCGTCCCGCTGGGGTTTTGGTGGATGATTCTGTCAGTGTTATTAGGAGGTAAATGATGTGGTTTTATTTTCTGCTGTCTTCCTCATAGTGCTCAGTAAATAAGTATAAGCCATAATACCATAAAAGGGGATAAATCTTTATGTGTGTCACTGCAGATATTTCAAACCGTTTATAAACACAAATTGGAGACTTGATGTGGATTTATGGATTTATCTAAAAAACAATGTCTGTATATCACCCCGAAATCAATAGGAAAAATATGAAAATGTATTTGATGTAGATTTGCAGATGTTCCCCCAAAATGTTTTTAAAGTAATGTTGTAATATTTCAAAAGGACTTGTTTATTAATTAAAGCTAAAAAAAAGTGCAGATGTTAATTTTTTTTTTTATGTTTCAAAAATATTTTATTTCAGATAGAAAGTGCAGATTTTTCATCAAAATTGGTTTTAAAATAATGTTGTAATATTTCTAATGTTTTTGTTTATTTATTTCAGCTACAAATTGTAGATGTTCCTCCAAAAACTGGCATTAAAAAATAATGTTGTAATGTTTCAAAAGTATTTTTTTATTTCAGCTAAAAGTGTAGATGTGTACCCCAAAATTGGTTTAGAAATAATGTTGTATTATTTCAAAAGTATTTTAATAATTTTAGATAAAGAGTGCTGATTTTCCACCAAAATTGGCTTAAAAGTAATGTTGTAATATTTCTGAAGATTTTATTTATTTCAACTAAAAATGCAGCTGTTCTATCAAAAAATGGTTTAAAAATAATGTCGTAATGCTCCAAAAATATGTATTTCAACTAAAAAGTGCTGATGTTCCCACAAAATTGGCTAAAAAATAATGTTGTAATGTTTCTGAAGTATTCGTTCATTTATTCAGCTTGAGTGTAGATGTTACCCAAAAATTGACTTGACTAAAAATATGTAATATTTTATTTTATTTTATATTTCAAATGCTCCAGTTTTTCTCTCATCACTCTGACTCGTCATGAGAGTCAACAGTGCTGTCCGAATGTAAGGAGAAAATAGACTTGACATATTTCAGCTCCATGATGTTATATTTATTCAGCATTCTCACATGGAATATTCCAGATACAACTTTTGACAAGTTTTAGTGAATGCAGGTGAATTTCGTTACTGTCAGCGATATGAACATGCATCTCTATTCTGAGGTGAAGCAGGCGATTGGGAAGTTTCAGATTTCTGCTCTTTCCACATGCTTGAATCATTTTTTAATGACGTTCACATGAAGCATGACGAGGTCCTGCCCAGTCCTGTAGCTTACAAAGAATACTTCAGTATTAATATATTAACACCGCATCGTGTGGCCGTTAATAAATAAGTATTCTTTGCGCGTTACAGTGGTCTGCAGACCGTTTCTTTTTTCTTTGTTCTTTCATCTCGAGCGCACCTGCTCTGAACCGTTTGAGTGTGTGAGGCTCTCTATGTTTGCTTCTTAGCAATGCTTTAGACTTTTGTATTCAGATGATAGAACGATGTGCAGACTAGCACTGAATTCCACTGAAAGATTCCTACAGAATGAGAACGTCTGTCATTCATAACATTTTAAGTCCTTGCATTTTTGTGTATTTGTTTTTCTCGTTATAATTGCGTTTTGAAATGCTGGTTAAGCAAAAGGTCAAATTAAAAATGTGAAACTGCAACTGTAACGGACGAAAAAATGTATCTCTGCACTGTCAGACATGTGAAGTATGTAACAGACTTGTGTGTGCTCTTTATGACTGCTTACAGTTTGACGCGATTTTGCTCATTTTGTTAGGTGAACTTTAGATGAAATTTGAAACATTTTAGCAACAGCACGCTGGGATGAGGAATGTGTGTGATTCAGTCTTCCTCTGTAGATGGAATGTCTAAATACATTTTTCACATTTAAAGACATGTTTTTTTCAGGCTTGGCAATGAAAAATGCATTGACAAACTCAACGCCCACACTTGACGCTTAAGAGGGATCTTTTTATGTTTTCTTCTTTTTATTTACAGTTTTGAAATGCATATGAAATAAAAGCAGCATAAAATCAAGAAGACGTTTAGGACTTGTCTTCAGTTACTTATTTTTCTCCTCTTCGACTTGCTTATGAAACAGCGAGTTCTGACAGCGGCATAATAAGATCCATCTTTTGCAGACACAAAAGATGAATATGAATAAAAGGCTTTGTTCCAGAAAAACAAACTGAGATTTTTTTGCTGTCTTTGGCACACAGAAATATTGTGCAAACCAGTCAGTTTTTAACTACAATGACATACTGTACGAGTTGTCCCATTTTGGTAAATAAAATTGACAAAAGTGATTTTGTATACACACAAAGCATATTAAGTGCAGGTAAAATGCATAATGTTTTAAATAACTTTTGTGAAAATAAAATGTTGGCAACGTAACAGATATATTTATGTAAAGATGAAAAAACATACTTATTCTGACCTGTATTTATTAAAATATATAATAGAATAATTATTTTAAATGATTGAATACTTTTCGAGAGAGAGATAGATAGATAGATAGATAGATAGATAGATATGTGTGTTTTTAATGCATTCTTGCCTGTGAAGGATCCATTTTATGTTTCAAGCCCCAATTTCTTGTTTTAATGAAATTGTGTTTGTCTAACCATTTAATGGGATCTTTAATAAAATCGAATTGTTCAATTCATTATTGCGAGCAAAATTACATTCAGAAAATATCATATTAGCCAGATTAATTAATCAGCCAATATATGGCCAGTTAGCTTCTTGAGTCTTGAGTGTCTGTTTTCTAATTGAATTTTTATTCTGTAAATATTGAGAAAAGTAATTGTTCATATAATAATACATACTTTCATTAAACAGTGGCATGGAAATTGTTAATGTTTTTGGTCAACAAAGTCAATGCTTTGGGCTGAGCATCATACTGTAGATCGACTACATGTTAATATGTTTAAGAAAAATGACATATTGTGAATGTCGAAGTAGTTTCTACAGAAGAATGAGGTTTACATATCCATTTCCATTCGATTTTAGTTCCTATTTTCAGCGAAGTGATTAAAAGTCCCCCTCTATCCCGCAAAACTTCTTTCCTGCCCTTTGATTTACAGTCAATGCGAGGCAGATAAGAATTAATTAGTAAAATGTTCTCTATATAGATCTCACTTTCTCGCACCCAGTCAAATTGCTGGGGGCCGACCTTGGATTTTCCTGCATTATTGATGGCTCTAATCTAGAACAGCGGCGTAATTAAAAGAGCGAATGGAATGGAATATTAACAAAGCAAAATGATGTAGCAGTGTCTGGCAAATGGGCTGTAATTGGAAGCGTAGATGGTAATTAAAGGCTGGTCTGTTTACTCGAGACGTTCCTCTCGTTGAAACAGGTCTCTGGGCACCCGTCGGCAGACGCGCAGACTCAGGGCCAGGTCCTGGCTAATAGCATCCGGTGGGGACAAACACCCATTAACCAGTCCACGCCCTGGGACACGGATGAGCCGCCCGCAAAACAGATGAGGGAGAAAGATATGACAGGTAAAGAGCTGAAAGCAAAGCCCACAGCGTTGTGATAACACCTCTTGTACGTTATCTTCTCTTGCATGCATGGATTGATTGATTGCTCGAAGTGGCTTCAAATTAGGCATGGGCGATATGGGAAAAATATCATATATCGATTTTTTTCAGACAGGAACATGATTTACAATCTTATCACAATTCTTTTTCATGTTGGATTTTAAGACTATTTTGCAAGTTACTGAGCAGTACATGCAAACTAATTTCAGTGTTGAAAAATATATCCCTGCAAGATAACGAAACATGAAAGAAAAATGAATGAAAGGCCATTTAAGCCAAAGTAGGGGTGGGAGATATGACCAGGTTAATTTATTTCATTTTACTTCATTATTTATCTTTGTTATTAAACTATTTATAACTAATATTTTTTATAATTGTTATTCAAATATGTGACCCTGGACCACAAAACCAGTCTTAAGTCGCTTTTTTTAGCAATAGGCAAAAAAACATTGTATGGGTCAAAATTATCGATTTTTCTTTTATGCCAAAAATCATTAGGATATTAAGTAAAGATCATGTTCCATGAAGATATTTTGTAAATTTCCTACCGTAAATATATCAAAACTTAATTTTTGATTAGTAATATGCATTGCTAAGAACTTCATTTGGACAAATTTAAAGGCGATTTTCTCAGTATTTAGATTTTTTTTGCACCCTCAGATTCCAGATTTTCAAATAGTTGTATCTCTGCCAAATATTGTCCTATCCTTTATTCAGCTTTCAGATGATGTATAAATCTAAATTTAAAAAAATTGACCCTTATGACTGGTTTTGTGGTCCAGGGTCACATATAAACAAAGATACAAACAATAAGACAAATACGGTATTAGAAAGATAACTGGTTGCACTGGTCAATTTTGAGATTTTTTGGGGCTTTTTGGCTTTTCAAAAACATGTTGTGTCAGACTAGTGTAAAGAAAACATCCAAAATACACATTTAAAAGTTTATTTTATTGCACTTTGTGTATTTGCATCTGTAAAGGTCATTTTCTCAAAATAAGTTTTTCATTGGAAAAAAAACGGTTTTTTTTTTTTTCACTTACATACACCAAACTTTACAGTTTTATTCCTATCTATATGTTGATAGTTTTTATAGAGGGTTTTGTTCATATATCATTTGCCTCATTTTATACATTTTATTCCTAAAAACATGGTGAAAATTTATTTTTCCTGGCTTTCAACAGTATTTTCTTGATTTATGGGGTGATAAAAAAATATATCCAGAATCCCCTCTGTAAAAACCTTTAACTTTAATAAGTCAAATGAAACAAGCTTTTTAAATTCAATTTTGAACCTGGTTTATCCAATGTTCAGATTCATTTTCTGGAAGTGTATTCAAATTAGTGCATATTTAATTACATAATGCCTTATTTGCATATTTAACCGTAACAGTTCAGAAAACTTAAACAAAAAAAAACTTGTGCAATTCTTAGTATAATCAATCAACTGAACAAGTATGGTGAAGTCCATTAGTCTGTTTTTTTTACCCATTCACCTGCAAACGCATGCAGATAATAAACTACATTGTCACGTGAATGTAACTGTGATACAGATGATAATCAGACGCTATATTAATGCAAAAACAGCCATAGATCTGCAACTGATACTACTGATGATCTCTCTGTAAAGGCAGATCGTGGAGATGTTTTATTAGTTCACAATCTAATATCATCATATCACGCTTCTACTTTAAATGCATGTTGTTTCAGTCTCTGCAGCTCCTCTATGGCCGCCGCAAGTCACTGCCGCCGTCAGCCAGGCTGGACTCTTGGCGCACACATACGCTCTGCCGCAGCCACCAGCTTACAGCCAGGGCGCGACTGTCCAAGCACCCATCGTCGGTGTGACCCCGGCGCTCCAAACCCCCCATCCACAATTACCCACACACTACCAGCTCCCACAGCAGCCTTCACAGCCAATGACCAACATGGTCCTCAACGTCCAGAGCCAATCCCTCGCCGTCGGCGGCCTGCCTCCAATGCCCAGCGTCTGCCAGGTCGCCCATCCCGTCCACACGGTGGTGGGCAATGGCCACTTGATGCATACCATGGTGCAATCCGCCACCATGAGCTCCTCGGCGCCGCTGACGAACGGCCAGCAGGAAAGCACCAACAACGGCCTGCAGATGCTAAGAACGGTCGGATTGGGGAAATACGAATTCACGGACCCCTGGCATCCCAAAGGTAAATTCTATTTCAGCCACAAATCATTTTAGAAAGTTTTCCCAGCCGTTATAATGTTTTGTTGCGCTCCTCCAGTTTCCGAAAGAATCCCTCTCTATCTTCGACCTGCACAACTTGATGATATATTTATTACTTCCCAGCCTTTCACTTTCAATAAAACCCCGCATTCATCAACACTCACAAGACGAGACGAGTTGGGGTGGATTGCCTTTCTTTTCCTTTTGTTTTTCTTTCCTACCCAACCAGCGGAAGTTCCTAATGATTTTATGAATTAGCTTCTCTGATATTCGCCAGCTTCCAGGAACTATTGTGAAGATCAGATAGATTTATGGGGCAGTGGATGCTTCTACAAAATTGTTGGTGGGTCTGAAATGGCAGAAATAATTTCCATATAAATGGAAACCTTATGTAAATATAGTGTAAATGAATTTCAGTTCATATATCAACACAGTCGGGACAGGCAAGTTTAATGTACCATAGCTAATTTCTTAGGAATGATTTATTAGGGGAAATAAACTTGTGGCGTTTGATGTAACTTGAGTAAGTCTCAACTTTTCCCGTTCTGTTTTTTGGACTCATTTTTTATATATTTTTATCCATATAAAAATGGAATAAGATTATTCAAAAGAAACCAGTATATCGTTATTGTGTGATATTATGCCCTAAAGCTCTCAAATCACCTTGATTTTCTAGCCAGCTACAGGCAGAAATCTATTTTTCTATCTCCCTGTATTGAATGTCATGTTGAATCGTGTGAGGTATTAATCTTCTGAAGAGAACATAAGGCGAATTTGCTGCCCATTTATCTGCTTGTAATTGCTTCTGGGGATGATGAGAAATCAGGTGCTCATTGTTCGTTGAATATTGACAGTTAACACTGAAATTTACAGATTAATAAGAACTGGACATTAGCAAGTACTCGTTCATGTCAACAGAAATGGCATCTCAGCCCATTTTAGTTTCATTGGTTTGTGAAAAGGTGGTGTTTCGTACTAGAATCGGACCAAAATGTGAGTTTGCTTTAAAGAAAGCTGAAGAACTTTAAGCTAGAGTTAAGCTAGAACAGCTGTTTTATGAGATGTTAATGGGTTCAGGTCATCATTTTGAGAAGATAGCATCAGAAAAACCGGCTTTTGCATATAGAAAGATGTTCGATTAACAAAAAATTGGTGTAAGATTGACGTTGGTGGGTTTTGGTCATATTTTTATGATAGCTTCCGAAAAACTGGCTTTTGCATGTAGAAAGGTGTTCGAATAACTAAAACTAAAATAAAATAAAGTTGGTGTAATATTGATGTTAGTGGGTTTAGGTCATAATTTTGAGAAGATAGCATCAGAAAATCTGCCTTTTGCATGAAGAAAGGTGTTCGATTAACTAAAAAAATGGTCTATGATTTACACTCAGAAATTGCTAGCAAATTTCGCAAATAATTACAAAGAAGTGGCAAGCAACGCATTGAATTAAATATTAATTTTTGAAGTAAAGATTTGAATAATAACTAATATATATATAT